ATTGTCACATACTGGCGCTGGTCTTGGTCTTGACTTGGTTTCGGACCCTAAAAGTCTTGGTCTTGTCTTGGTCTCGGGTTAGGTGGTCTTGACCACAACACTGCTACCAAGACATCAGCATACAGCACATCATAATTATGGCCTTTGAAGAATTGAGTGCACTTTTCTGGCAATTCAATTAACTTTAAAAGGTTAACTGATTTTTTTCTTTATAAATAACGCTGTCATGTCTTATAAATTCACCCTACATCTTGAGTGTTCAAAGCTAATTTTATTTATTTTTAAAAAGTTGAAAAATACCTGCATGTTTTAATTGCAAATGAGGTTTAGCCGTTAAATATTACTCAGGTTTATAGCATTGACAGAGACTGGATTCAGAGTTTTGCTGAGGTCGATAAGATCAGTTTTGCATCGATTAAGGCCAATCAAGAGGCCTCAACGTCCTACAAGGCTTCAGGAAAACTGCTAACATGTGGAGGGAGATGAGAAAAGAAGAAAATCAAACTTTTTGACGTTTCGGAAAAAAACGTTTTATGCTGCAGGAAGCTAACAGTTCCCATCCTCCTGAACAAACCATCATTATGGCTGCAGGGTGTAGTGGCAGCAACCAGGACCATTTATCGTTTTCAATTAGCTCCTTAATAAAGCTTTACATGGGCTTTATATTTCACAAAAATCCTCCAAAATTTCCGAAAGGTTTCGGTTGTAGCATGTTAAATCAAAATAATTCAACAGGTATGATTACAGTAATTTTGCAAGGTGCTGTAGTGTTCAATAAATCTTTGTTTGGAAAATGTTCATTGAATAACATCAGCAGGCACCTTTTAGCTCATGCATCACTTATGAAAGTCTCTCCTTTTTAAAAAAAGGTTTCTTTCAAGAAACTAAAAGAAGACAAGCAACTTCCACCTGGAATCAAAGAATAATATTCTATATCTTAGTCAATGGAAGCATTGCTAATATCACTACAGTGGATGGACATCTGAGATATTAGCCTTTTAGCAGCTTCTGTTCATTATTTACATGACAGACAGAAAACATCATTGTGTGCCTGATAGATATAAGCCTGCTGGCATGCTGCCCTGCTAACTGCGGTTAGTTAAAGTTGGATGTAAGGTTTAGCATTCTAAATCCAGTCATCTTGCTCAGATCTCATCACTTATTCTCGTTTCTTCCCTAGGTCGGCTGGTTTCCTTCGACATACGTGGAGGAGGTTGAGGAATGAGCGGCTATGTGAAAATGAGTAGGATTAAAGCAGAGGCAGCGTACTGAGCGGCTCGGTCGCTCGACTCTCCTCCATGAAGCCCTGTTGCCTAAAACCACCCCAGCGGCCTTCCGCTGAGGAAAAAAGGGGCTGCTGCTGCAGGCTGCTAACAAGCCCCGTCATTTCTGCTGGACTCGGTGTGGCTAAGCAGCTCCAACGACAAGCAGCCTGACTGTCAGCAGGAAACCAGCTCGGCAGACACTCCCTCTCCTCCTCTCTTCACCCATCCATAATTCATCTCTCACTTCCTCTCCTCCCCCAGTCTGCCACTGCTCACCCCCTCACGCCTACTCCCCAACCTGCCAAGTCAGGCGACAACAGAACTGTCACAAGTCAAGACTCGGATGCCACTGCTTCACTCATGCGCTCATCTATCCATCCTTTCATCCATCAGCTGCTTCCTCTGTGAAGTTTTTCCTTTTTTTGTCACTTTGAAGGGATTGCAGCTGATTATGACCTTGCCTGTGTGCGCGCTCCACAAAACGCAGGTTGTTATCGATGGCCCAGGTTCATTCACACAACTCCCTCCTACTGATTGTGATCGCAGCGTGTTCTCGCTCTTCCTGGAGACGAGCAGAGAGGCGACGGTGTCGGATAGCGTCGCCACACAGCTGCCAGCGATTGATCGTTATTCTTCCCATTTTCCTCCTGCTTCTTCTTGTGCTTTATCCCTCCACCCAGCGGCCTCTCGTGTTTTCAGTCGCCCCGATCGTAATGGATCCTCTGCTCTTATCGGTGGCTGCTCTGTTAACATGAGCTCTTCCGCCTAGGGTATTTTTTATTGCAGGCATTAGCGGCCTATTGGGGGAGACAGCCAAGCCACCTGGAAGGTCCTCAGTTAGGCAACATTAAGTCTCAACGCTGGGAATGATGGCAGAATGCGGTGGTTACTGTAT